TAGGGTGCATTTAAATAAACAAACAAAAAAAAACTGCTAGGGGTACTGGAAGAGTAATTTATGAGAGAGACAGTAACTATCAGATCAGAATTCACTTTTTTTTTGTAGAGCGTCCAAGATGCTTCAAAGAACAGGCAACCATTGCAAAGAAAGTCAGGGTAACACAAGATGATGCAACAGGACAACACTGCTTTAGTACATATATATATACAAATTTTATTTTTTTCAATGTCATAGTATCCCCATACATATTTTTACAAATCAAGAGCGGCACAAAAGAAAAAAAGCACAAGCGTGAAATAGATACAAAAAACAAAAATCAGACAAACATTCAAATGTGTGTGAGGGATCACAAATGCGGTTAGTGTTCATTTGTGAGTTAATATATAGCAGAATTATATAGAATTGTTATATTACTTGGAAATAACTGAACAGTAAAAACACAAAAATAGTGAACATGTAATCAGGGTTACCCATATTTTCCACCAGGTCAGTGAACAACATTAAGGATTTTTCTTTTAATATATTAAAACCTTAAACAAGCATTTACACATATTGCTTCAAGGTCACTGTAAACAGCAATTCCTACACCAATCTTCAGGGTTTTTTTTTTTTTTTTTGAGGTATCCATCTATTCTAAAAGAATGGCAAAGTAATGTTTAGCAACAATAAGTAAATTTTGCCTTAGAACGCATACTGATCTCAATAATGGACTTGGATACTACACTAGGCCCATCCTCACATAAATCGTTATACAAAACTTGTACAAAATAGAAGTAGTGGACCAGGCATTTACCAGATTTTGTAATATTGTTTTATCAATATCAACAGACATGTCAAATTAGCATTGGCCAACAAAGACTTTACTGGTCTCATGCATTCCTAAGGACCAGCTGCACTTTTTGCAGCTATTTAGGCCCCATTGTTCATGCTTTTTGAAAATATGATGATCCTAACATAATGTCAAGAGAAATGGTCTGCTGTAGTCTTTTACTGAGTGCTGTGGGATACTGCATTCTACTACACTCTCTGCCTAATTAAGCATCTGTTTGTTCCGCTCTGTAGATATACAACAGCAAAAAAGACTTGAAGCAACGCCCTTAAAAAAAATATACAAAACGCTCATTGAACACCATAAAATATTTTAGCCAGTAAAGCAAATATCTGGCACTATAGCAGCTTTATAAAAACAGAAACTTAAAAATACTGCAGAGCTCATTTGTTCTTCATGCTTTAATATATGTTTGGAGGAATCTACCCAAGACTGCAGTAATTATGAACAGAGGTCCACTTTCCATGTAGCTGTCACCAGGACATGTCACCCCCAATTTCCCCTCACTTCCTAAGTGACAACATTATCACTGAAACAGGAAGTGAAGGCGAACCATCATACAGCAGTAAAGACCTGCTCGAGGTTTTAACCCCACCCCCTCACTCTATCCAAAAATTACAAAATTTTGGCTGGAGTTGCACTTCAACAACTTATTTCCTTTTATTTTATACTAAAATATCTACGGCTATCCATACCCTGATCTTTATTAGCCATATATCCTATCTAATAATCCCAAAACAGTGTGGTAAGCAGAAACTGTACACTTCAAAACAGTGGAAGCCATTAATGTATTCGTTTTGGGTTTCAACCCATTTCATTGTGAAGTTTCAACACTTAAATGGATACAGACCCAGAACATATTTTATCCATAAAAATGGTTGCCGACTCTACTGTATGAAAAAAAATAAACAAATAATGCTAGTATTATAGGCAGTGCTTACGTTTTTAAAGTAGTTAAAATAGTTTTTTCTTTTTAAATATATAAAGTAAAAACCGGTTGTGACGATTATGTCAAAAGAAGGGTCTGAATATTGCACATAAGGTAGCAGGAAATTAAAGCTCTCCCAAAAGGTACTTTTTCACTGCAAAAATAAGGCGTAAAACAATGCAAATATTACATGCACTATCCCTCAGAGGTTTCCTGTAGGGTTTACCCATCCCTAGGAACCTCCTCCCAGGAGAGTCACATCGACAAAGCACTAAATCATTTAAAAGTAAACAATGAGACCAAGTGAAAATAGTAATAAAACTGTTGGAAAAAAATGCAACCAAAAAAGGCATAATATAGTTTTAAAAAGCTTACAAATTAAAACAAAAACTGGATGTACATATACATAGAATGAGAAGCAGTTGCCAGTAAACATCCACAATTTTTTAAACTTTGGTAGCTGGTCTATAGCAAGCATCTGGCTGCCACATGCGGAGATCCACAAGGACCTGGTTAAGCTTTTGCATCCAGAGATTTCGTTCATCTTTAGTGTCTGCAGATAACCAGTTCCTAGAAGGAAGCAAAAAATATATATATTAGGGGTATTTTAAACTAGGCCTTGGAAAGGTAGGGTAGAATTTATTATGCATAACACTGTTGCCAGACTAAGTACATTAAAGTATTTACATATACTGAACAAGTGGTCAGAACACTAAAACATGCCATCATTCACCTCTGTAGTTATAGGAATTGTGCAAAAATTATTCTTCATATTTCAAAAAACAAAACAAAACAAAAATCCCTTATTTATCGTTAACCCCTCAGGGGACAAGGAACTACTGCTGCATAGTTCACATGAAACAAAAGCTCATGTTATATTTGGTATAACTACAAAAATAAATTAGGGAAACTCACAGTTTAGAGTCTAGTTCTTGGTATTAAAATTAACAGCAAAACAAGGGTTTTCACCAACGTATACATAGGGACACCTCCTGAAGAATTACTTAGTCCTATTACATGCAAGGATCCAAACCAGATATAGGATTTTCCCCTTGAAGAGTATATAAAGCCTAAGTGTATACAAGTTCTCTTATTTGCATTGCTAAATTGTATGGCTAAACAAATGAATGCAATAACATCTGTTTGTTATGGCAGAAATCTGAGACTTTAACTCCCTGTGCTCTGACTGTTATCAGTTACATTCTTCCCAGCTATCTTGGTGGACTACAAAACACATCTCCCCTGTTACGAGGAGGGGTGTTCTTCTGTAGTCCTAGGGTCAGACAGGGTCCAGCCTTGCTGAGAATGAGCGGATCCAGATAGCTGTATAAAAAGCTCAGCTTAGCAGCGTAGAGATGATTCTTGATTGAAGAGAAAAAAAAACCCAAAACAACAAAAAAAAGTCCAGTTAAAATAGGTGACCTCTTCTTCTAAGAGAAAAGACATCCATCCTCCAGGGACACTAGCAAGAAGTAAGACATCATGAGTGGGAAGGGCTATACTTTACTGGCCAATACCCTTTTTTGTTGCCATTGTCCAATTCCTCCTGTAGGCAGCAGTATAACCCTATGGTTTCAGATGATATGACATTGTGTCCCTTAATTATCAATAAAGAAAGCTTTATCGCATACGGTTTATTTTGTTTTAGACTTTTCAATCATTGTGCAGACATCCTTTTGAAAGATTTACAGTTTTGTCCTTATTTGGCTTGTTCAGTTACTGAATGGTCAAGCAAATTACAAGCCAGCAACTGTCAGACTTCAGGTGACTTACGATGAATTCACCCCAGGCAAAGCAAATAAATCTAAATAAGTAGGCAACCATATTCAGTCAGTAATCCAGCAATATTGTTAGATGACTATTTAAATTGTTTCATAATTAAAAAGACATGATTAGTTCTTTCTACATCTTTTCACTGATTATATAAACTTCAGCTAGTTGAAGACTAAATGGGATTAAAAACACTGTTATTGCAGTCTGAATACTTTATGGAATCCTTGTAACACCTGCATTTTCTGCATCATCACTGATTAGATTCACTGCGCCCCTGAGAAGTCGTTCTGAATAGATCTGCTATACATATTATTCTCTGTTAGATCACATTTCTAATAGTTCCCCCCAACACACACCACAAAATTGGCATTTAAAATACAAGGACTTACTTGGTAACACACAATGTGTCCCGGCACTGGCTGACTAAAGTTTCTCTGTCACCCTCTCTCTGGGGGCGCACTGTTATAAGCTCCAATGTATTGGGTCGGGCACAGAATTCCCGGTTGGCTGGTTCGATTTTTCTGCTTGTGCAGTTTGCCAAATTTATTCTGCCCATCGGATGCTGACAAAAAAGAAAACAAAGTTAAGAAAGCATTTTTAAAAATGTTCGCTTGGCACTATTTGTGTCTGGAAAAAAAACCACTACAAAACCGAAGAAAAATTAGAAATGTAGAGACTTTGTCGCCACCTTTTCTTTAAGCTGAAAACAGCTGGGAGAGGTGGAAAGAACCCACCAAGCCCCCCCCTTTATGTTCTCAAAATACTGACTGTGCCCAGTTTCAGCTGCTGTTTCACTGCTGCAAAGATCAACACTTCCGAGTGTGCCAGAATGTTTGGGCGCTCCCCATTACTCATGCCCTACGTTACTGTTCTCTGTTCTTAACACAGTTACTGATATATGGTCACAGTGAAGAAGCTGGGAGCAGGTTAAGGAGAAAGCACAAACAGGTATTCAGCCAGGATTATACTGTGCATGAGCAAGATACCGGCACTACATTACATGAGTGACATGCCCATTGCTGATGGGACCACTGATGTTAATGAACAAACAGCATTTTGTGACCTATGGATAGAGACAGCTTGGTGCTCTTCATGGCAACACGTGTCCACAGGTATAAGCGAGAAATGACCAGAGAAAAGTAAGTTACAAATGCTTGGGACAGAATCTCTCTAAAAAACGAACAACCCAGAGTAGACATGATTGAGTTGAAAAGAGATTGTACAGTTTTACATACACAAAACGTAAGCTAAACACAATGGGGGGAATTTATTCCCAGCCCAGAACAAGTGGAGAGGAAAACATGTGCAAAAAACATGCAGTTGAAAAAGTAGTGCAGGCTCTGAAGAAAACGGGCACATGTTGAAAGGCAGATTTGCACATAAAAAAAAAATGATCTAAGAGGCTAAAACTGTCGCAAGTGCTTTGATAAATTCCCCCACAATGTGTCCTATCTTTTTTGTGGGTCTCTGCTTAAAGAAGTTCATTGTGTATTGCAGTGTTTAATTACAACAAAGGTTTATGTCCAGTCTTAACTCTGTGACAAAGGATAACTTGAAAATAAAGTCATCCTCCATGTTAATTATCTCATATGAAAATGGAAATGGTTGCCTAACAGCAAGCTCCACAAGACCTTGGATATTACCCCTTTTTTGGGGACAAAAGTCTCCTCACTGCCATAATGGAGATTACTTTCATTTTGCTATGGAGACTCAATTTTGGCCATTATCACATAACTTAGACACCAAGTCAGGACTCCTAAGCAATATTACCTCAGATAGGCACAAAGAGGCTTTTTTTTTCCTAGGCAAGAGTGTAATAGTTACTGTGCCAGAATGGAGGACAATTGTGTTTTAAGTTACTACAGTTTTAAACAGTTTGACGTTTAAAAAAGGTTTTTAACACTGACCTTTCGTTTCTCATCATCTGGATATGTCCAGTAAGATATGCAATAACCAGACAGCACGCACCAACGCCGATGCCAAGCTCCAAAACCACTTACATCTTCAAACATAGTCTGGAATTAAGGTAAGGAGGAGGAAACATTGAATGCCTTGATACCTTTACAATATTAAGTATATAATTCCAGGGGGTCACAGACATTTTAACATTTGGGATATATAACTACCCACGTTCACTTTTTAATTCTATAACCCGTTTTGTTACACTGTACTCATTTTTCAAAGATGTGACGATCATGCTTATTACCTTCGGAATATCAGAATAAAATATATATATACAGGTGAAACTCAATTAGAATATCGTGCAAAAGTAATTGCAGTAAGTGCTGCAAAAGGGGCCCAAACATATATGTGTGTGTATGTGTGTGTATGTGTGTGTATGTGTGTGTATATGTGTGTGTATGTGTGATTATATATATATATATTATACACATACATACACACACACCGCACTGTGCTCTACAATACACTGAAACTGTTTATGTATCAAACCCGAGGCAGCTACAACTAGATACAACTACATGAATGTGTGATTGGCATTTTTATCATAATTCTTTGGTAAACAAGAATGTAAGCCCTCAGGGGCAGGGCCCTCCTTACCATCTTGTCTTGAATTGTATAGTAATGTCTTCCTTACATTCTAAAGCGCTGAGCAAACTGTTGGCGCTATATAAATACTATGTAATAATAATAATAAATAATAATCAACAGAAAACTTTCATGGAAAAAATTAAATTAACAAAAATGTATATCTACAAGAAGATGACTCACCAGAAAGCCCTTTTCTTCAAGAAAGGAATTAATTTGGCACTTGAGTTTTAGACAGATGTGACCTTCCAAAGGGGACAAAAATGGAACCTAGAAGATCATAAAATATTGTTTATAATTTATGACATGCATAGTAAAACAATACCTTACTATGTCATTTATTGTATTCACTTGGCATTGCCTGTCAAGTGAATTTGCCAAATAATAGCCACTGCTCTTCTTATATCTTCGGACACCAATGTTAATCTAAATGAGTAATAGGTAATGGCTTACTAAAGTATTCTACTTCTCCTTAGAGCATTAGGTCTCTGCTAGCAAAATATCATACTGAAAAGTCTTTATTGGAAGAAGTGCTCACATTTACATTTTTATGAATTTAATAGAAGGTACCTACTTTCAAGTCTACATTTATTGGCTTCATTACATTAGGCTTATTGTAACAGTGTCTGGTAACTGCTCTCAAGCCTTTAACCAGGAAAATTAAAAGAGGAAGAGAAATAACAGGCATTACCTTGTCTAAGAGGAACTTGTTGTTACCAATTGATGACAGTGAGAGCTTGTGAGATCCAACAAGAACAAAGTTGCTGGTGCGGACAGCATTGGGACCTCCTGGGCTAGTCAAGACTGTGAGGGGTAAGAAGTGAGTTGTATACAAGTGAGTTGAATAGAACTTTATCAAATTCAGTACACTTATCAGTTATTTTATATTTGTATCAAGTTCTGCATCTCATGTTCATTAACCCCCCCCAAAAATCTAGTTTGATTTAAATACTATTTATTGCTTTACAAAGAAAAACCTCAACAAACTCTGCTTGCGATAGATGAATACATTTTAATGATAACCTAACATACTAAAAGTGACCCTGTCAGTCGTTTCCCTGCGATAGAAAGGCACTCAAACTCTATGGGGGCCTGTTTCTACTTGGAATCATGCTTTAGCAACTACCGTATTTTTCGCTCCATAAGATGCACTTTTTTCCCACCAAAAGGCGGGCAAAAATATCGGTGCGTCTTATGGAGCGAATCCCCATCGCCCATGCCATGCAGTTTCGGGCGCGTAGTTTGTTTGTACATTTAGCCCTGCTCCGGACAAGCAGAGCTAAATGTAAAGTGGGAGCCGCTGCTCGTTTAATATAGGAGCTCACCATCGAGCAGACGCATAACGTCCGTTCTTCGGCTGCTCTATGTGATCACTGAGACCGTTGGGCTGGGGTCCCAGCTGTCAATAACTACACCCGTCACAGAACCCTACCCTCCCTGCGTCCTATGGTCAGGTGCGCCTTATGGAGCGCAAAATACGGGTTTGTTATGTATGCAATTCAATCTACTGCATAAAACTGAATACTTTGGAAAAGTTACTGTGCAAGGGACAATCTGTAGGGTTTGCAAGAGATGCTCCTGTAGCAACTTCTGGCATTGGCCCGTTAGGTGTGTTTTCAAATCCAGCCCTTTGTATGAGCCCGTACAAAAGAAAAAAAAAAAAAAAGTCCCTTGGGTATATATTCCCAATTACTTCAGATTCATTTTTACATTGCCACCAACAAATTTCAGTCTTAAGCTCCTGAAGATAACAGTGAAAATAAGTTTTTACCAAAGTCATGTATATTAGAGGTTTCTGTATTAAATGGTTTAGCACTAAACTAAGCAAAGCAGCAGACATAAACAAGAACATTAAAAGAAAATATGCAACTCACCTGGTGTATGCATATTGCTTTTCTAAAACAAAACAAAATTAAATTGGTCAACTAAATGTTGCAGAGCTTACTCAATACATAAGCCTTTCTAAAAACTGAATTCATGAGTAAACATTTTATGTACTTACATTTTAATCTGTTCTAAAAATGCTAAAGTACTACAACAAATACATTTGATGGTAAATTGGATTTTTGTAAATCACTGCAAAATCCTTTTCTTGGAAGGTTTTTGGAGGACTCGAGGGCTACTGGTTTATAATGCCGCCCACAAGAGGACTTCGACACTGGCAAACGAAAAGATCCAGCCTGAAGTATTCCACTTGGCATGCCTCAGTTTTATAACAAGCACAGCTGAAAAGATCAGAAACAGAGGGGTGGGGCCCGTGTCTCAAACTACTTAAAAAGGGAGAACTATGAGGTGATTGATTTCAACTCATCCTCAGTTACAGCCGACCCGTGACAAAGAAGCTGTCACAGGTCGGCTCTATTGATCGTGAAGTGAGCAGACTCAATCACGCAGCTGGATGGATCACAACAGTGTTGTCGGGATCCGTCCCGGCTGCGGCGCACTCAGCATATCGTGGGCAATACTGAGCTTTGGGTCACAGGAGGAGGTTAGTATATGTCCTCCTGTGACCCTAAAGAGAACTATGGGGAAAAATACTTAGCCCATAGTTCTTTTAACTGCAATGCACTAATTAAGCATTAAGCCAAATTCCTTGTTGGAGATGCATTTTAAGGGGGCTCTGGCTGCAGTGGCTGTTGGTTGTACTGTAGCTTCAAGGAACTGAGTAAAATAACTAATTTTAACAGCAGCAGGATGAGGGAGCAGCTGCTGCATAAAGCAGAAGTGTTTTAGAGGCAAAAGGAGGACACCTCCCAAATACATGTATTAATGGGCCATTTAGAGTTGCAGAAGCCCCGATTAGCATGTCTAGCTTTACTAGTATTATTATATTAATGTGACACTAAACTCAGGAGTTAAATCTTAAAGTACCTTAACTAATAACAGTACTTATTTGTGTATCACTTGGGTGTAAAGCCTCAAACCATCCGTGAATTCATGCTGACACTGTCCTTCCTTCTGGAGGCTACTTTTGTTCCCATCACCACTGCTCCACGGTTGCTCCCGTGATGGACTACAATCTCACGCTTAGTTTATTAATTTGTATTGAGATTATAGTCCATCACAGGAGCGAGCTCGGAGCAGTGGCTACTGTACAATGCACACACTGGGACCATGGGGAACAAAAGAAGCCACCCTCCAGAAGGAAGAACAGAGTCACCATGAATACAGAGATGATTTGAGGATCTACAGCCAAAGTTATGCAAAAATAAAGTCCAGTATTGTTATTAGGTAAGGTAATTGAAGGTTTTTGTTTTTTTTACAAGACTTGACTCCTGAATTTAGGGTCACTTTAGCAGACTAGTACCTAGAGGAACACATTATACTTACTGTAATAGAAGTAAGCAGTCTTTTTGGAGTGATTGCCTAAAACAGCAAACAGAAGTAAAGGAATAAAAAACAAATACAATTGTATATTGTATACAAAGTGACTTGCTATGATGTTACTTTACCTTAGTCTTTACAGCCTTTTTCCTTTTATCAAGGGCAGGGCCCTCTTTTTTTTGTGCCTGAAAATATACAATAAGCAAAATAAATTATCTAAAATCTAATACATAAATGCATACAGACACGCTAAGGTTTTTAACTCACCAAACTGTACACATCAAGGCAAATTGCAAAATCATTTGAAACATCTTCCCTGAGGGAAAAAAAAAGAGAAAAGAAAAAAACAGTAAGTACATTTAAATGTTGATTGGGGGATGATTAGGGGAATGTTCTAGACTCTTAATAGACTTACATAGTAAAGGTGGTTGGAAAAGTCAGAGCATCTCCTTTCATTGAACTAGAAATGCTGGCAAGTGGAGTTGCCAGCATTTTTTCTGCTCCTGCTCGAATGATTATGAAGAAGTAATAGTTTGCTGCGTCTGTGGGCACAAAACCACATTAAAGTACACCTGTACGCAGCCCATGTACAATAAAGTAAATCTATGACCAACAGTATATATCTGCTGCACTGCAATTACAGTTTTCTCAAAGTCCCACAAAAACCCATTGAACTTGCCAGTGAAATCCACCTAATGCACCTTCCGGTTATGGTGTGGCAATGCTATTGCGCTGCTCCTGAATTTAGGGCAGAGTTGCCACACACATGTACAATGTGTCTGCATGCACTACAAAGGGAGCGAAAAAAATATTGCAAGGGGCATGGCTATCAGCATTGTAACTGTTGATTCACAAGCCTGTAGCTTGTCAATCAATACCTGGCCACACTTTATGTATTTATTTTTTTAACTTTATGAGGCTTGTACATCACAAATAGTAACTGGACTTAATCACGTGTTGAGACTATCATATATGAGCCTTTAGTTGTGCTTGAAACAGTTTATATATTCTTAATAAAAGGGCTTGGTCACACCAGCTCAGTCGACTTGTGTTTATCCACATGGGTACACAAAAAACAATTGTGTTTCCACAGGAATGACTCAAATAGCAGTTGAAGCAGAAAGGTCTTTGTGGCTGTAGGAGCACTGAAAAACCCAAGACCTGGAACAGCAGATTGATAATCCAAATACAGGGTAACGCATACAGGCTAAAACCCCCCCTCAGGCAACGACAGGAGACATTGGTGCCCAGATATAGACTGTAGGGATTTTGAATCCGAGATAGTAACATGGGCCAGTTTAAATTTAAGGGCTCAGGGGGCTTAGAGCTGGAATCAGCAGCAGCAGAGCATAAACAATTAGGAAGCCTAATCCTATGGACATGGGGAGGCCTCAGCCGCCCCTAATGGGCTGAGCAAGACAACAACTGCTAACAACTCTATAACAGGGGTCCTAGATTTCAGAGTACAGATGTCCGTTAGGGCTGTGCCACAGCTCTGGAACCAGAAAGCAGTCGGCGGCTAAAAGGTACACAAAGCAGAGCCCAGTGCCTGAAGGTCATATTCCAAGGTAGCCTCGCAAATCTAATTCAGTGGGGTCCAGGTATAGCTTCTAAAGGCTAAACCTGAGGAAATACCGATCCACACAGCTGCTATACAGAGACCAGTTCAAGTAGCAGTGTAGAATTTTGATTGAAGTCACCAAAGAAAAAATTCCACAAAAGGAAGGAAAATTAGGTGAGTTTTGTTTTGGCAGAGTTATAGCACAGCCATCCAAATTCTTACGACACTAGCAAAAAAAACAGAGGCATGCTGTATACAGGAGGCATTATACAGGGACGGCTTACAAATTTTCTGTTTGCTAATGTCTTAACCTCCTAAAAAAGGTGGAAGTATAACCCGACCCTTTCGGAATTACTTTGTTCATCAATGGACGGTAAAGAAAAAACAACAACAACAACAACAACAACAACTTGCAAGCAACGCCAAATGTTCCTTTGTACTTTCTTACCCGCCTTTACATACAGCAGTTACATAGTTACCAACTAGGAATCAGCAGTTGTATTGCCAGCAAACGTTAGCCTAGGCTACCACTTCCATGGTCTCATTGCAATCCCTCCTAATCCTTCCTACCAACTGAACATCTTTTTAGCAACTTTTTTGGGGATCCCCAACTGATCCAGGCTTAAATAAGGTCAGTGCAATAATTATAATCGGTCCTTACCTGGTCTCTGAGATGTGCTGCAGATAAAATCAGGCTTGATAGGCAGAAATATCTCAGAAAGGGATATTAGGCCTCTGGATGGAGTGTTGTCATAAGGCTGCGGTCTCTTCTGAGCACTTTCACTCTTCAACTTGTTTATCTCAGCAAGTAAACATACTCTTTTTTCAGCTAGATCATAGAAAGAACACCATATTAATACACATGTACCGTGTTTCCCCGAAAATAAGACACTGTCTTATATTTTGTTTGGCTCAAAAAAACACACTAGGTCTTATTTTCGGGGTAGGTGTTATTTTTTGTTAATGTACAACAATCCACACTGATTCATGTACAAAAATAGGGTGATCTGGGCAATCAGGGGTAAGAGCAATTTGGTAACTAATCGCTCTCCAGAATGAGCGAAGCGCGCTTTCACTATCGATTCCTCACAGACGGAGTGCGTTTGGTATTACTCCGCCTGCGACATAGAGGAGGCATCGGCTTATGCGGCTCTGCTCCCTCCGCTGCCGCTTTGCTTCCCCTAGCGCTGGCTTCGTTGGCACCGCTGATTCTCTCCCGCCTCTCCCGCGGCTCTTCAAGTTCCCCCTTAGGCCACCACCGGCCCTGGGAATGGTCACAACTAGGTCTTATTTTCGGGGTAGGTCTTATATTTTAACAATTCCCAAAAATAGTACTAGGTCTTATTTTTGGGGTAGGTCTTATTTTCGGGGAAACAGGGTAGTTAGAGGCGCACTGCATATACAACTGGACAAAGTCCATTCCAAAATCATATTCCAGCACCGCTATTGCTCTACTTGCTAATTTGGCCAGATATTACATAGCTCTTATCTTGTTCAAATTTCTGGCAGATAAAGTGGGTATTCTTTCCCTACTTAACCTCCATGCCCAACATGCTTAGCCAACATGGTCAGACTTTTATAGGACATCCCAGGAAGCACTGAAATTTTGTCTGAAAATGGTACTTTAGGCAAAATGCTGAAAGTACCATATTTTGTTCCGGTGCACCCGTGATTTCTCTCCTCCTCATTGGACGCTGCTCTGTGTCCCCTGACACAGAGCAGCGTCCAGCGGAGAGGAGCTGTAGGAGGCCGAGCGGGGAGGAGAGCACTGTGAGCGATGCGTCACAGGAGGCAGAGCTCTCCTGCTGCACTGCCCCAATCGGCCTCCAGTGACAGATCAGGATGGAGAGCGGTGTGGGGAGGAGACAGTTGTACACTGTCACGGGGGGGGTTTCCAGCTGTCAAAAGGAGACCGATCTTTCCTCCCGCACCGCCAGCTCAGCCTCCTGTGACAGCGAGTCAGGAAGCAGAGCTGCTACAAGCTGATCACTGACTGCTTGTAAATAAATGACATAGTATGTTTACCAAGTCCCCAATTATGAATTAACAGGAAGTGCTCTACATCACTTCCTGTTCATTCATGATTGTGGACATGGTAAACATATTCTCTCCACAAGTTATGAATGAACAAGAGCACTCCGTATAGGATCAGGGATGTCCAAACTGCGGCCCTCCAGCTGTGGTGGAACTATGAATCCCATGAGATACAATTCCCCAAACCTTAAAAAAAATGATTTTTTTTTATTAAGTGAAAAGGTGTTTTTCCCACACTAGTACTCACTTGCAAACAACAACAAGCGTTCTGCCTCTGCTTCTGTTTGTGTTCCTTTACCATGCTCCTCATCTGTGCAGCAATTAAGAGCCTGGCTGGCCTGGTGAATCACAGTTTGTTGCAAAATGATTTCATTATTTAAAATCTATATTAAATTGCGGAGTTGTGTGCTTTATTCTTCTGTATTTCTATACTCGGGACAACCATTTTTGTTCTATTAAATGTTGCACTCAAGACTGGAGCACGTTTTGTATTTTTTAGCACCCACATTAACACCAGTGATAAAACCAAATAAAAAGCCATAAAATGAATTGTTAAAGTGATAAACAACTCCAAGATGTTTTATTTAACCTTTTTAAAGAGGTTACCCCTGCACTGCAAGGGTTAAGTGGTTGTTTGTGTCTAGGTGCTAAAGAACCAATTATCTACTCAACCGAAGCTCTTGAGTCTATAGACATTGATGATTTACGCAGCAGAGGAGGGGAGAGCTGTTGGAAGGACTAGTCTAAAGGTGCCCATACACTGCTCGATTCTCATACGAGAATCGCGGGAAATCCCACGATCGTACGAGAATCGAGCAGTGTGAACGGAGACGTGCGACCGTTTCTACTGTACGGTCGCACGTCTTCCGTCGAACCAGCATGTTCGAAAACCAGCCGGGAATCGTACGATTTTCGGCTGGTTTGAACAGTGCTCGTAAGACAAATGCCGAACGGGCCGGTGTGCACACGCGCACACTGCCCATTCAGCATTGCGGTCATCGCAAGCCCGCCCCTCAGGGGGGCGGGCTTGCGATGATCGAGAGTGCGATCTGCCTGTCCAAGATAGGCAAATCGTACGTTTTTTAATCCCTGTACAACCATCACAAGACTAAGGTCTTGCGATGGTTGTAGTGTATAGCCACCTTTAGAACAAGCCAGCCTGGAGCTTCGGGTGAGTAACTTTTTTTTCTTTTTAACCGAGACACAAAAGAGGAGTTAACCCTTGCAGTGCATGGGGTAGCCCCCGCTGTAAGGGTTATTAAAAAATCCTGGAGTTATTTAAAGTCAAAAGGTTTTTAAGCTATTTAAAACGCTGCTTAAATCAGTTAGCTAAGCAATATTCCTAGTTCTTTTTTTATCTTAAAGAACTGAACTCTGGAAGCTGTTAAAAGACCGCCACCGGGCAAATGACTAGTCACCAGTATTGCCTGTGGTCTTTCTGAAGCTGATCCTTTCCCATTACTAACTTATTATTTTTGTCCTGCACAGCACAGAAAGATGGAGTTAGTTTCATTCCATTCATTATTTCATGACAATTTTTAACCTAAGGCTGGGTTCACACCTGGGCGTTCGTAATATGCGCGATTTGAGGTCCACGAAACACGCATTTGACGAGCGTTTATTAAATCTATAAGGCTGGGTCCAATGGATACGCACTGAAATCCGCACCAAAGAAGCTCAAGTACTATTTCGAGCGTAGGGCGTTTTTCAGCACGACAAAACACGCTGAAATACGCCCAGGTAGGAAATAATGCCCATAGCAATTAATAGGATTTCACTTCTTAAGCGTTTTTCAGCGCTTCGATCAGCGCTCAAAAACGCCCAGGTGTGAACCCAGCCTAAAAGTGCTCAATTTTAATATTAACTCTTGGGTATGAAACCATTATGTTTTCAAATTAATTGGGCATTTACTGTAAAAAGGGACACTAAAAATGCAATCTTAAAAAGTACCTTAAAAAGGAGAACTATGAGGTGAGTGCTTTTCACTCACCTCATAGTTCTAACCGACCTGTGACAATGAGACTGTCACAGGTCGGCTCAGTAGATCGGGAAGTGAGCGAACACATACCAGCGTTCGCTCACTTCTCGATCCTGTCACGGCTCTCTGCCGTGATAGGGGAGTGGCTGGATTCCCCGCTCCGATCCTCCAGCGCTGACTGGCGGAACGGACGGGGGAGGGGGCGGGTACAGCTGACTCTGCCTATAGATAGGCAGAGCCAGCTGTCACTCACGCAGCTGGGCGGATCCAGACATAATTGTTAGGATCCGCTTCAGCTGCGGCGTCTCATTATACTGCAAGCAGAAGCTCGCGGTATACTGAGCTTAGGGTGACGGGAGGACGCAAGTTTGTGTCCTCCCGTTACCCGGAGAACTATGGGGGAAAGCCCTAACCCCATAGTTCTCCTTTAATGATGAATTGATGCAGACACTGTCCTTCCTTCTGGAGGGTGGCTACTTTTGTTCCCCATGGTTCGTGTTGTAAAGTAGCCATCGTTCCAAGCTCGCTTCCGTGATGGACTACGATTTCAATACAAATTAGTAAGCTAAAGGGGATCTCCATCTTACGACACTAGCAAAAAAATTCAGTGGGCTGCAGTCCATCTCCATCACGAGAGTGAGCTTGGAGCAGTGGCTACTTTACAACACACACAAGGACCATGGGGAACAAAAGTAGCCACCCTCCAAAAGGAAGGACAGTGTCTAAGAGTAAATCTCAGAGCAAGCTGTGAGTAACATTTCTAATGCAAGCACATCTTAGAGAGATGGCATGGCAGAGAAATGCAGAATTCCTCAAGCAGTAAATACATTTTGCCATTATATGGGCAAAAATGGATGGAGTTCTTGTATAATTGAACGTTTGTTTTTTTCTTGCTGCATTTTGCATGTTAATATAAATGTAACTAAACACAGCAATACAGTGTATATAATCTGTACACAATTTACTCACATTGTAAGACAGCACCTGGAAATGGATATGCATTTTTCCGTATGTTTAATGTGTTTGCTTTTTTTTTAAACAAAATCTTTTCTTCCTTCAGTAACTTCACACAAAAGCTCACAAAAATGCACATAAAAGCAAGTTTACTGTTACTTATGCACATTTCTATAAGATTCATGCAGAAGTTAGAAACCCCATCATGCACACACAAAAAAAAAGGACACACTGGTGAACCGCCCAACCGGAAACGCCACAAGTCATCTGTTCATGTGTGTTAAACATGCACATCCAAACCACAGCAAAAGTAAATCAAGAGTGAAACGTTCTAAATTTAAAACCTAAATTATTAGTAGTATAAAAAAAAAAAAAAGCTGAGGAAGGTGAATATGGGAATGTCCTACAAAAAGATGACTGGTTGTCCCAAGATCCCCTTGGAAGACATTGCTGTCAATCCTCTCTTCTGCCTAAAATAGTTGACCATATAAACAGGTTAAAACGCAACTGTACAGCAATTCCATTTAAACACACACTGCTGTCAAGATAAATAACATACTGGTTTGTTTCTTAAAGTAAATTTGTGCTTTGCCCATGCAGGGCCTGGGCACTTTGACGGCAACCTCACCAGCAGCTTAGCTTAAAGCAAACCTGTGCTTTGAGCATGCAGGTCAAAGCATGCTTGCTTTAATATAATTTTTCCCCATCACCACATGCCATTCATTTGCTCCCTTCAATGCTCCATTCGTCAACAAGGAAAAAAAAAAAAAGCCCTGTGTAAGGCTCCAGGTCATTCTATCCACGCATACAAAGTCCTGAGGACTCTTCTCTCCACCATATAACAGTTCTATGACAGTCACATATCTACAGTAGACAGAGGGGAGAGAGTCACATGTTTGTTCATACAGCAAACTATCGGATATTTTCTTTGCTCCGAGCAGCAAGGTGACTAAAGAAAAAAGGTATTTGGTACTGTGGAGGGGTCAAAGATAGACGGTTGTGTAGCTCTTTATGGGTAAAGTAAAGGTTTGTTTAAAACTGAGGATCCCTTTGCTCACAACTGCTCTGTTTGGCTGGCAGAAGCAAAAAGAAATACCCAGTACTTTCAAGTATGGGAAGCCTCAGACTCTCTCTCCTCCCACAAGAAAACCTTGTGCTTGTTGAGTGGCCACTCAGGCACTGCAAGCTGTCACGCTGGGGCAGGGACAGAGTCTGTAGTCCTACATAAGCTCCTGATCATGACTTGGAGCTTGTTCAGGGAATCCTTCTTCGTCCTGGTGGCCAAAAGGCAGTGTCGGGGGAGTGAAGGACAAAAAATTAAATGTAACCAGCTGGTAGGGCCACATTTATAGTGAACCTTTTGCATTGCCCTGCGCGGACAAAACACAGGCTTGCTCTAATCTTCTCAAACACATTCACTATAAATTAATGGTCTTGAGCGTTGTAAAATTAACAAAACATAAATGGTAACAAGAAATGCACTAGTAATAGGGTTATTTTTATTTTTTTACTGAAAACAACAAATTATACCTTTAGCTTCTGTTTGATATTAACATGCCGAGGAGATGCATACGTTACATCCTCCATTCGGGAAGACACATCTTCTTTGCGCACAATTGTTTGCACTACTGGAGGACGATCGGATTCTTTAAATCTCTGTGATCTGTATGCATCGATGCTGCAAGGAAACAAGTTCCATTACAGGTAAATTAAACACATCTCACTTTTATGAAATAGCTCATCAGTGTTACTTTTTGTCTTTACCTGTACAAGAGGTTTTGATTTTCCTCTATGGATTTAAAACTGTCCTTCGATTCTGCTCGGGGTACCCTGGTCCGTTGGAACTTTACTGATTTAGGGCTATCACAACTTGCACTAGTCTCTGCATCGACGTTGGAAGGCGATAGTGAAAGAGAAAGCAGTGCCTGTAAAGGGGGGGGGGGAGGATTAATTCAAACAGTCAATATGTTTTTATGTATACTACATTTTTGGCTTCTTCATTTACCTCTGGACTTCCAACCCCAACAGTCTCTGCTAGTGGAGTAAGCAAAGACATTGAGGAAATGTTGAGTGCATCATCATCTTCATCATCAGAACGGTCATCTCTGTCTTTATTGCTTTCTATATCATCTCCAACCCTTTCCACCTGCTGGGTAGATGCATCACCTACAGCTTCTTCCTCCTCATTTTCAAGATTATCACTAAAAATGCTGTTGATGACTTCTGAACTGTTAGGCTCATTAATACTTCTATCTACATTCATCTGAATCTCTTGTATCATTTCCACTGTAATGAGAGAAAAGCAACAGTCAAGAGCATGATTTACAAAGAATGAATCAATTTGCAGATTAGGTCACACAAACCTATATTTATAGATCAAAGCAGATCATCCCAGCACCTGAGCTGCAAATACCATTAAACAAGTTTACATAAAATCTATAAGGAGGGTAAGGGGCTCTGTTCTTCTCAAAGGGCTTGTAAGAAGGGTCCCAAAAAAGCATTTAAAATTGGAAACGCTTTAGATGCATTTTCTTCAATGCCCTAGCAACCAACCACTCATGCCTAACCTTTTAAAAACCTAAATATAAGAATATTGTTGAATGCAATTGGTTGCTAGACCATTACGGGTTTTTTTTCCACTGCTTTCATAGAATTTCTCTGTTACTCTTGATGACACTTCGCCATTACTGAGAATATAAAATATTGTAGAATCAGAAGATTGTCAGTCCCTAAAAAGTAACAAACCTTTATCTCCACCAGACTTCACTTCATTGTTGGGTTCTTGCTTCTCCAGGGACACTGAAGAGGGTTGCATAGACTTCTCAGGACTTTTAACACGGCCAGCCATCTTTTGTTGGGAGCCACCTAGGAAATTTGGATAAAATGTAAAAACAGAACCTAAATTAGTGCCACACTGCTAGTTGAATTTCAATATGCATCATTGAACTGGCCCTTGTTTATCAGCTCTAGAGCTTAATCAGAAGTTAAACAAAATAAGGGGGACAGTACATGTATGGACGTTTTGTTTTACTGAAATTTTCAGTAAAACAATGCTAAAATATACTGAAGCTACAATGTGGCACTTAACTAGAGGATATATTTAGACACCAGGTGCAGCCTTAAGACTGCCGTATATAGCTCAAAGTTCAAGCAGGGTGTAGCCCCGTCAGTTTCACAAAAGGCAAATTTCTTATTCAATTGTCGTTGAAGGAACATGGTCAAACATTCTCGGCTGAACAGATATATTTCAGTCAATCAGCTGCAGTCGCTGTTTGGGTTTTCTGACAGCGGCAAACTCGCCACTGTCGGTATACCATAGCGTGGGAGAAAGGGAAGTGTGGCTTCTCCATTCTGCACTCTTTGGTGTTGTCGGGGCAATCAAGCATTTGTTTTCCCCTTGTTCAGCCCCAGTTTATGGCCAGCTTATGTTTAAAAAGGGAGTATAGAGTCGGGAAAAATATTTCTTATTCTCATTAAAGATTAGAAGCAATCTTTGAAGTCTACAGCTAAATAATGCTACTAGCATTAACCAGTTGCCGTCCGCCCGTAGTAGAAAAACGGACGGACGGCACTGTCGCATTCGCACAAAAAAATGACACACAGTAATGATGGTTATTAACCAGCGGTGTTAAACCCCCTTCCTGGCCAGGCCATTTTTCAGTATTCAGCGCTGCGGTACTTTGACATTTATTCCGTCATGCAGCGCTGTACTGAAATGAATTTTATACCCTTTTTTGGGGACAGATAGAGCTTTCTTTTGGTGGTATTTATTCACGACTGAAATATTTTTTTTTACTATATTAAGGAAAAATTACCGAAATTAAAAAAAAAAACTTTCCCCTACATTAAATGATAAAACATTAGTACCCAATTTTTTGGTAAAATCTAAAAGACGGGGTCACGTCGGGTAAAAAAGACACCAAACATGTCAAGCCTTAAAATTAAAACCTCAAAAAACGATAATACCCAAAACTTGCCACAGGCGACGCTTTAAAAGCTTTTACCGCTCATCAGTTTAGTGTTATCAGTGATTGATGGCCCTAAAATTATTGCTTTCACTGCGACGTTCGCGGCGATATGTAACATGTGTAGCGCAATTGTCGTTTGCGCGCGCTGGTGCACCGGACGCATATTTACGTTTATATGTGCGTAAACGTGGGTGTTAAACATTTTGGGTGTTTTTTTAAAACTTTTTTTATATGTTACTTTTATTTTTTTTAATTTATATTTTTACACTTAGTTATTACAACAATCCCCTTATACAATAGCAAATGCACACTGACAGGTCCTCGTTATGGAGACATTAGGGGTCTCTGTGACCCCTAATGTCACCTGTGGACCCCAAAAGAAGCTGATGAAGCAGAGATCTGCTTCATCAGCTTGTTTTCTCTGGCTATAGCAGCCAGATGACAGATACACATCACTTCTGCATTCACAGCCTGGAGGGAGATCAGCAAGGAGCTGAGCTCCCTTCCTCTTCCTCCTGACGCCCTCCCGAGACGGTCCCGGGCCACAGGGTGTTTGCATTGCACGGGTCTGTTCTGCCTGTGCGCGCGCCCACTAGGGGGCGCACACAAGCAGAAAAAAAAATGCCGTCTGGAGACGGCAACCCGCCAATGCAGCAGTGCCGTCCGTCCGGTTTTTTTACAGCGGGCGGACGGGACGGCAACTGGTTAAAAAGCATGCATATGCCTAATGGCTTGACACATTAATGCAATCAAGCATTCCTTCTTACTTGCTATGCCCTTCTGTGGCGAAGCAGGCACTCTCTCAGAAACTGGATTGGAGATTACATTTGGCTTCGGTGGCTTGCTAGAAGTGACTGGATGAGCTTGAATTTCCTAAAGGGAAAAGAAACATCAGAAATGGACTGTACCGTCAGGACAGGCATCTTACAAAAGATATCATGTATACAACAATAAATACAAAATTACTATAATGCCTTATTGTATTTTTTACGCACAGTTGCCACATAGAACACAAATGCAACTTCAGAAACAAAATAACCCTTTCTTTAAAACCCAACACCGGGCTGGAGAAGGATTAGTGCTATTTTAAATAAACTGTTATCCTTTAAATCAATGCTATTTAGCCCATGCCTCCAACAATCAGATGTAAGGGGGGGAATAAATAAATATAGTGTCTGTGGGTGACTTAACATACATCTCATGCCATATCCAGGAGAAAAAAAAAAGAAAAAAAAGAAAAAGAAAAAAGGCTTTTTAAGATGGCCTCCACCTGTATTGCTCTTTTAAGGATACACATACTACACCCACATAGAAATGACATACACATTAAAACCATATACTTCTATTTATAAAACCATATACTTCTATTTATAAAACCATATACTTCTATTTATAAAGTCAGAATTTACTTTAAAAATGCATCCAGTGGCAACCTTGTTGCCTAAGAGAAGAAACCTTATTGCACTCTACATTTCATGATGGGTACCATGAAGTATACTAAAGTCTACAGGTAAGCAGTAAGCAAAAGAAAAATAATCTAGAATACTTTTTTTCATGACATTTCAACAAAGATGTGTCAAATGTGTACATTTTGCAGGTAGTAGTTTTAGTATGTATAATGTACTTCTACAAAAAACTGTATCAGTATTTAAAAGTCACAAAAGAGAGATCACAAATTAAATAAGACAGAACTGCAGATCTAGTGCTTGTATACATTACTGGAACTCTGAAAGAACCTTCATCATATTCAATCTGTTGTAAAGCGTATTATCAGGCCTCATAGAATACAATTTTCCATTACCCGTTGAGTCTCTTGATGCTTGGTTTTAGCTGGGTCTTCCTTATCTGCAGTCCAGACACTGCCTTTCTCAAACCGGGAGCGAATAGCTGCAAGTTCCTTCTCACGTTCCTGATCATAAAAAGGTAATAAAAACACATTAATTGTACTAAACATCACATCTATTCTTATTAAAGCCTATCTCAGGGGAAAAAAATAAAAACAAAAAAACAAGCTCCCCTTGCGGTGGGGCTACCCCCACACTTTAAAGGGTTAGTTGCTCAGATGTCTAGGGGACCTAGCTAAAGCAGTTTTACTTACCTGATCCCTCAGCACTCTTATCTTCCCTACTCTACAGCTTGTAAACCGTCCTTCGGCGTCCTCGTGTATAATGCAGGGCTATTGGCCCTGTATTGTATGTGAGGAGGTCAGCGGGCCTCCGACCATCAAAGCATAGGGGAAGAAAAAGCTGCAGGTGCCAGCCAGAGCGGGGATCAGGCATGTAAAAGGTCCTTTATACAGATCCCTAGACATAATTGAGTAGTCAACCCTTGCAGTGAAGGGGCAGGAACACTGTAAGGGTTTACTACTCCCGGAGTACTCCATTTCCTGGAGAAAGGTTTCAAAATACAGTTGTTTGCAAATGTCTGCACCTTTTTCTGCTGCTGTGTTAAGCTAGCAGTACTGGACACATCATTCTGCTTTAGAAGCCTTTCGTGGATACTCTTTGTTGTTGGTGTCAGCAACGAAGACTTTGGTCCAGTGTTTACAGGTGCTGGACTGCGATCTTGACATTTCTCCCCAAATCGCTCCAGAAAGGACTTAACTCCTGGACCACCTAAAATAACGATAAATGGGTAGAGATTTCAATGAGATTTACAAAGCTGACAAAGCTGGACTTAGCACAGAGTAAAATGGAGTAAAGAAATACATTTTATAAAAACTAGATGTGCAATGCACCCATGTACGTGACCCTGCAGAATAAGAGCTTGAATAATATCTCATGACAAGGAATATTGAAATTTTCAGTAAAACAATGCTAGTTGAAAAGCAGAAAGCGTAAGGCTGGGTTCACACCTAGGCGTATTGAATATGCGCGTTTACCGTGATTCTCGGTAAAAAACCGTGCGACAAACGTGCGTTTCCGAGGGCTACTTGGCTGTATCCCAATGGAAACGCGCGTCAAAAACGCCCCAAAGAAGCTCCTGTACTTTGGGCGTAGGACGTTTTGGTGTGAACCATACCCATAGGAAATAATGGGATTTCGGTGTTTGAGCGTTTTGCAGAGCGTTCGAATGCGCTACAAAACGCCGAGGTGTGAACCCAGCCTCAAACAGTAGCAGCCAGGGTAAGAGTTCATCTTGTACATGCCTGACTTGTGAAGTAAATGCTAATTGGTTGCAGATGTTTACTTTGTTCCTTGCATTATCTGCGTGTCTAATAGAAAGCTTTAGCTACAACTAAAAATCAAAAAAGTTGATATGTACAAAAAGGTAAAAACTTAGAAGTACATCACAAATGCATTCACTTACGGACTCTCGATTTATCGTGCTTACCTGTTGCAGTCTTTTCCTTTTGCGCTACAGGTGTTGCCCTGCTATTTTCTTCCCTAGGGGTTGCCTGGTAATTGGTGAATATTTTAGAGGTTGGCCTCTCGACCCTCTGTGGGGTAGATACATTGGCTGACAAAGACTTCTCTATCTGAACTGATGGTTCATTCTTCTCTTTCAGCTTGGAAGGAACAACATTTGTGATTTTATCCGCTATTGGTTTAGATGCATCAATAATTGTGTTTGCTACTGTAGAGCTTGAAAGTTTTGATTCAGAACGTGTAGACACCTGTAAGGAAAAGCATATTCGTGTTTAGAGTTGAACTCATGCAAAAAAAATTTAAAAAGCCAACATATTTGCTTGTGACCATTCCACAATGCTATAAAATGCAATGCGTGCGTTGTTGTGTGTTGACACATGTTACAGTGCATTAAACAGCCCATTCAAATGGATGGGCTGAAACACACAGCAACGCACACGAAAACAGAGTTAGGCACCTGGAAACAGGTTTTCTATGAATCTTCCAGGACATCATAGAAGAGAGACTCTGTCCACTTAAAACAGGAAACACATCATCCACAATTAAAATAAAAAGGGGCAGTCACTCCTACCCACCTCAGTACTAAAATAGAACGAGGGCAAAAGAACCACCAGAGAACAGAATACACATACCCCTCAAAAGAGAAGGGCAGGAATACCCTGTTATCCTGGAAGATTCATGGAAAAGATGTTACCAGGTACCTAACCGTTTTCCCCAATCCATCCTCCAGGACAGCATAGGAGAAAATAGGCTAGAAATACTTTTGGGGGGGGGGGGGCGGCGCAACTGCCAAGAGCACTCTCCTGCTTAAAGCCTGCTCCTTATCATTTGATTGGTTAGGACAAAAGGAGGGAATCATAATATCCTGGGCTCTGTGGAAGTGGGAAGCTACCTTCGGTAAGACTGGAAGGGTCTTGGGGTAATTCTGTCCAGCAAGATAAGACAGTGGAGTTCTGCTATGGAAACAGCCACCGACTCTTCTGGCTGGCATGAGGGACACTAATAGAAATGTTTTGAGAGTCAGAATTTTGTCTGAGCACTCGTCGATGGGTTAGAAGTAAAAGATCTGGTGCATAATTGCTCTCTTCTCGAAACTTCAGTGGAGGAGAGTCTGCTCACAAACCAGACCCTCTTTGGAATAAGATCAAAACATGTTAGATCCCAGTCCCAAGGGTGCACAAAAGTGTCCACTGCAAGAGCGCCATCCTTTTCCTCCATCAAAGAGAATTTGTATAGCTCCCTGTTGCATATTGAGGTGAAGAGGTCCCTGAATACCTCACTTGGGCATGAGGTAATTGATGGGAAAACCTTAAATGCTTCTTTGAGGGATATGCAGGTATGCAGTCTCGAGATCCAACGATGCCATGAAAACTTCTGGGAAAGAAGTTCCCTGCTGCAGCGTCCTTCCTCCTGGTGCATGCCAAGATCAAAGATTAAGGCTCCAAAAGAACAGCCTCCCCCCTTGAACACGTATTCTGCCAGAAGGAGGATGCCATAGAATCAAAAAACACTGTCCTCCTCCACCGAAGATCCCCTTGAAAGTGCATCATCAGCACTTCCTCCTGGAAACTCATCAGTGGAAGAGCGTCATCTGACATCACTTCCACCCCAAACACTGGACTGAATGCACAGTAAGGCAGGAGCTCCCATGTGAGACAGCACACTCTATTTTCCCCCGTGGAGAGGGAGGGGGAAATGAGGATCAGAAAGAGGTGGATGAGCAACAGTGCCAAATGGAGACTAAGGTGGGTAAGAAGGACATGATGGACTATAACATCAATGCAAATTAGCTAACTAAGCATGAGATTGTAGTCCATCTTGGGAGTGTGCTTGGAGCGGTGCTTACTTTAAAACACACATCGGGAGCATGGGGAACATAAGGAGCCACCCTCTAGATGGAAAGATAGCACCAGCATGAATTCAGAGATTGAGGATCTACAGCTGAATGATACACAAAGAAGATACATTTTTGTTAATAGTTAATGTTCTTGAATGCATTTTTAAGATGTAACTCCTGAGCTTAGTGTCACTTTAAGGAAAAAAAAAAATAGTAGACTTGACCTGCTAGGCCTGAGGAAACAATCTGAAGTGGCTAGGAGTGAATGCCCTTTTATTTTAATTGTGGATGATGAGTTTGCTGTTTTAGGTGGGTGAAGCCTCTCTCCTATGCTATCCTAGAAGAGGAGTTGGGGGAAAAAAGGGCAGAGTGCGCTTTATCACAGCACAAGGCAATGCTCAGGACATCATGCATTGTGCGGCACTGCAGCTCACATGAAATTGGAGGTTCTCTGGGGTGCCATTGACAATGAATGTAGCACATGTTACCAGCAGCACAGTGGTATGAATGTGCCTTTACACACTTGGTTATTATTCATGACTACACCTGCAGTGCCACCTGTAGGGAAGACTGGGATTGTGGCACAGCCATACACAAACAATAATTCTTTATGAAAGCATAAGTGCTAAATAGGCTGGAACTTAGGCTGCTGAGCAATGAAAACAGCAAAATTAAGCCCAGATATGTTTATTTGGGGCCTATGGGAAGTAGGGTACCATCTGTTACTATACAGCGATGTCTTCAGCAGTTGGTGAATTTCCGATTGCCCTGGAAATCTCCTTTAAATGTGATCAATACAAGTTTGAGTAAAAAAGCATACAAAAAAAAAAGTAGAAAATTGGCAATGGAAATTCAGATACACTTCCATTATTCAGGAAGAAGAAGAAAAAAAAAAGGGGCTTGCAAAAAGAAAAAAATTTGCACCGCAAAACAATAAGCAGTACACAAATGTGTTGTGGATAGTAAGGGGTGTTTTTCTTTTTCGCACATGTGAAGATGATCATCTTAATGATTTAATTGTGCCTTCTTAAAAAGATGATAGATAGATCTCCATCTCCTTTGCAATTTAAAGTGACACTAAACTCAGGAGTTAAAACTTAAAAATGCACTCAAGCACCCTGAATTCATGTTGACACTGTCCTTCCTTTCCGGAGGGTGGCTACTTTTGTTCCCCATGGTTCCTGTGTATGTTGTAATTTAGCAAATGCTTGTTGTGTTAAGGCACATACCTTTGTAGCCCCACAGACTTCAATGGCAGCACATGAAAAATGCATACATCATGCATTTTTGTACATTTTAGCATACGACAAGCCTCCACCCCCTAGGCAACCTCTACTTCCTTTAAAGAATAAAGCGCACTTTCAGAGAAATCTCAGAAAGCATGCATGCGGAGGATGGGAGGGGACAGAAACAATTAGCCAAAAACAAAATTGCAGAACATGACAATGTATTAAAATCCTCATTGGGCAAAAAAACTAAACAAAAATAAAACCCCACCACAGATGCAAAGGTGTGAACCTGTGCTTACTCTTTAGAAGTGTTGCCAAACTGTTTCTACCTCAACTGAGTCATATCTAACCCAGCAAACAATGCACTTCCTCCATAACTCATAATATTACTAAGCAGAAAGATTATATTTATGTACAGGTCTCCCTCTAGTGGTTAATCTACAAATCTAAGTTTAAAAAAAAGTAGCATGTAAAATGAAAAAAACAAAACGTAACATTAAAGAGGACTTTGCATATTACATAAATACACACATTATATATATATATATATACACACATTTTGTTTTACATAGAATTAGATAAATATTAATAGCAGATCTACTCATTACTGAAAGTCAAATGATAAGGATTCGATGAACTACATACCAGCGTGCTAGGGAGCGTGGCTTTTATCACAGACTCCTCTTTGGGTTTTTGTGATGCAGCTTCCTGCCTGACAGTATGACTATTGATGCTGGAAGATGCTGCACTGGCAGAGGCCACTTTCGATAAACAAGCGGTACCAGGCTTTTCTTGTGTATTGTTTGGTTTAACACTTGGATAGCTCAAGTCGTCTTCCCAGGATCCGATCGTGGCAGCCAGGTTAGCTAAACGAGTTCTACGGCCCCTGGGAGTTTCACTGTTAATGACAGAAGCCTGTGCCTTCGGTGGGGAAGGTACAATTTCTTTGGGTGGATTGGCAATAGGAGGGGAATTTGAAGGGCTCCCTGGGAATGGGAAAAAAATAAAAATGTTAATACAGGAGGGGAAAAAAAAAAAAATACTGTAGATTGACACTACGACGACGTACTTGTTCCCCAAAATATTGACTGTGTTCCCCAAATGACTGACTCTTATATTAAAGTGGTACTCTAGTCAAGAAAAGCAATGTGAAGTTATAACTGGTGACTTCCTCCTAAATATTCTTTCTGTGCAGCCAGATCTCGGTCCTGCCAGTGTTCTCCATGAAATGGGTCAGCTTTAGTGATTACAAATCCCATCTTAAAGCTGAACCCCAGGCAGAAATAGAAGACAAACATTAATGCAGTTATGTATAAAAGTAGAGAACTCTGGGGAATGAACACATTTTATTAACCCTTGCAGGGGGGGCTACGCTGAACTGCAAATTTAAGTGCCTGTATTTCTCTAGGTTCAAAAATATAGTTATACTCACCTGATCTTTGGTGCCGGCTAGCTCTTAGACCAGTGCCTTCCGCCTCTCCTCCTCTGCTGCAGTGATGGTATGTTCCTCTGCGTCCTCAAGCACAATACAGAGAGTGTATAGAATGTGATAACGCACAGGACCGTAGACCGCTGCAGCGGTCAAGGCGGAAGGGACCTATCTAAAAGTAAGCCGGCTCCTAGGATCGGGTTAGTACACCAGTTATTCTTTAACCTAGACAAAAACAAGCACATGCTCTTGCAGTGCAAAATATTAAGAAAAAAAATTTCCCTGGAGTTCTGCTATCAATAACAGATCACACAATCGCATTGTTTTGTTGCGGTAACACGCATTTTACCATGCGATGCCACAATGTGAAGACTGCGGTGCCGTTGATTCTGAAGGGTCTCCAAAGCACCTGCAATTTACCACAACATGCTGTCCTTCTTTCCCCCCTGCACTGTGGTGTGTTGGCAGCCATTCAAAATGAATAGCCGTCTTAAAAAGGAGAACTATGAGGTGAGTGATTTTAACTCAGCCTCATAGTTCGAGCCGACCTGTGACAATGAAACTGTCACAGGTCGGCTCAATAGATCGGGAAGTGAGCGAACACATACCGTTGCTCGCTCACGTCCCTGCAGAGAGCCGTGACTGCCAGTCACGGCTCCCTGCAGGGATTTACCGGCTCCTCCAGTGCTGACTGGCGGAACGGACAGCGGAGGGTACAGCTGTTTCTGCCTTTCTGCTGTCAATCAAGCAGCTGGGTGGATCTCGACAGTAATGTCGGGATACGTCCCGGCTGCGGCGGTCTCAGTATACCGCGAGCTGTAGCTTGCGATATACTGAGCTTTGGGTCGTGGGAGGACGCTAGTTTGTGTCCCCCTGTAACCCTTAATAGAACTATGGCGAAAAACACTTACCCCATAGTTCTCCTTTAAGGCAATGCATGTTAACATCTGAACCATGCATTGATGTACTTGTTATACAACTAGCATTAATAGCTGAAGTTGCCTTCGGATCAACCTCTCATACTTCCCTCTGCAGCAGAGCTCAGTCTGGGAACGGGTTAAGCACAAGATGCATGCTCAAAGGGGGAGAGAGCGGACAGATGAGCTCATCAGTCTGCTGCTTTTCCTTCTACTGTCCAATCACAGGCTGGAGTCAGAAGACCTGCAGCTTTTTTTTTTTTTTACCGCAGAAGGGGAAAGACATGTCGGCTGGCCTGCCAGACAGGACTGTGTGGTGTGGCAAAACAGTAACTATATCCATTGGAGTAAACCCTCCCAAGGTTTTTTGTTGCTTCTTCCCCCTGGATTTTGATAATACCAATCTATACAATATTGGGGTTTCTAGGAGGCATTTACACAACACTGTTACTGTTAAAAAGATAATTTATTCACATCACAGTTTCAAATCCAACAATTAGTTGGCACGTGTAAAAACTAAATGTTGGAATTTAACTGTGATGTGAATACATTGAAGGGAATTTATCAAAATTGGAGCAGACAAAATCTGGAGCAGCTGTGCATGGCAACCAATCAGCTTCTCTTTCATTTTCAAATCTTGACTGAACAAACTGAAGACATGCTGATTCTTTGCCATGGGCAATTGCTCCGGATTTTGTCTGCTCCAGTTTTGATAAATTCCCCCCATTATCTTTTTAACAGTAACATAGTGTTGTGTAAATGCCTCATAGAAACCCCCATTATCGTATAGATTGGTATCAAAACTGTGTGAATCTCAGAACTGGATGGACAAATAGACAAATGCTTTGGCAGCTGAAACAGCTTCTATACATTTCTTTAATCTGGGTATTTAGCGGTTTGCCTGGAGTTCAGCTTTCACGGCCGCAATGCTTTCAGTGTACCCCGTTATTGAACTTTGAATTCTCCCATTCACAAAAAGAACGAAATTAAGATACTCTGCAAATTAAATTCCAACTGCAAATATACAAGTATGTTACTACTTCACGTTTCTCAGATTTCATCAGGCACACCCACTGTCAGTCTGATTTGAAATGTTAGATGCTATTCAGGTAATGAAGGAGATTTAGTGGGTCACTATTACAAAAAGTAATTGCTCCCCGATTTCTGTAGGTTGTTAGAACATGTAATGACAGAATTCAGTATATCAATTCAATGTTTTACTTTGTGACGATTTATATATTTTTTTCTTATACATTTACATGCAGATCAAGCTGTCCAGCAAATGTGAAAACAAGAGGAGTGAAGGGGAATATTAAAATGAACCTGCGCCCAGAATATCCACATTAAAAGTATACATAGTCTGAAAACTAAATGTCTATGTCTGTAGTTATAGGCACTGCAGGGAAATTCATCTTCAAAATTTACAACAGAGGCACTGAAATAACAGCAACTTTCTTCTTATTGTCTATTGCAGCAGAAACTTGGCAGCCTACTGATGTAAACAAACAGCAGGTGCTGGAAGCTGTACAGCTATAGAGGTTGGTGCTTGCTTGTTTTAATGTTCTTTAGCTGCGTGTTAAGAACATATAAAAACTTTCATGTCCATAGTCTGGGGACAGGTGCACTTTGGACCCATGACCATTATAAGCTACCCCCCCTACACAGTGTTTTAGTTTGTACTACCCCTGCCGCTTTTGGTAGCCAATTTAGTCTGCAGGAAAATATAAAATTATGGATGTACAGATACTGTTTTCTCTGTAGCGAGTACTGATATTTTGCCACAGATACCGAGTACCAATGCATCCGCTGGCTTGGAGCCGGCTTCTTGGGCAATCACAAAGCCAGGGGCGAGTAATGACATGCCACCCGGATTCCTAATTGCCAAGAAGCCGGCTCTATGTCGTTTGGCACGGAAACCGGCTTCCCAGCCAATCAGAATCGAGCCGGCTTCCCGGCCAATCAGGAAGCCGAAAGGCGAGTAATGACCTGCCTCATGATTGGCCAGGAAGCTGGTCATTACTCACCACCCAGCTTCCTGATCGCACGGAAAGCTGGCTCCATGTTCCCCTCCTCCTCTGACCAGAAGTTCCAGTATCGAGGAAGGTGTCGGAGCATTTGGGAGAGTACGAGTATTCGCTCAAATACTCGTATTGGCACAGATAACGATACTGGTATCGATGTATCCCTAATATAAATAAAGGGGTTGTAAAATAACAAAAAGTATATACTAAATACAGTCATACAATCTTTTAGCTGCATATAGTTCTCACAATACAACAGGATAATGAAAAGACATAACCAAAGTAAATGCATATTAGTTGTATATAATTAACTGCAATGATTTTGTCCTATTGACCGGTGTTAGGCTGTAATGTACTGTTTTTGAAACCATCACTACTCTTAGGATTTCTCTCATGGTTACTGTGCGCAATATTTTGAGTATCTCTCTGCCAGCCTCTCTCAACGAGGGTGCCAGAAAATTTTCATAGCATCATGCCTTTGATGTGAAGGGGAACTCCTAATGTGCAGGGAGGCTCCCAATATCAATGGGGTCCCTGAAAGGAGGATTCTGATAAGAATGATGATGTAATGAGGCAAACCACACTTTTTGTCTCATCATGGATAAGGGTCTGGTATTGATTTTGGAGTGACCACATGTCTGTTTAAATTAAGGGTTTTTACATTTTTGGACTGGGGTGCCTTGAAATTTTGCATAATTTTAAAGGGTGCCATTGCTGAAAAAGGATGAGAAAGCCTGCTCCATATCAAAGAACTGCACAGGTTCAGCCAGAAAAAAAAACAACAGTAGTGAAATAGAGAGTAGTGATGGACTTTCTTATTTTACCATTATTGTCCCAATATCTCCGCTGATCAGCAAGCCTCTGCATACGAGTCCTTATTGAAGACGCTTCATGATCTGGAGAATTCAGCTCTTCTTTAGTGGTTACAGTGGTTCTTGGTGGAGTCTGTACTGTGGGTTTCACTTGTGGGTGCGCAACAATCTCTGGCTGTGTACTTTTAACAATCACTGGGCTTTTTGGTTGCTTGTTCTCAGTCCCTAATATTTTGTTTTCATCAGAGCAGCGCTTTTTTGAGGGTGATGGTTTTGCGCATGGTTTCTCTGGAGGAAAAAAAAAAAATATCTTTACTGTGAACTAGGGCTGGTAATGATTACATTTTCGCGTTCGATTAATCAAAATTTTTTTTGTTATCAATTATAACGCACATACAGATCCAACTACATTGGCCTATACACATACAGCACAGCAATGAAGTAATAAAATGAACTAGGGTCACACTAATCCAGCACGTTATTAATCTCACGTGCCCCACTCAATATGGCCGCCGCTTGAGTGGGGCAACTCAGAATAATAATGTGCTGGATTACTAATTTAACATAAGTATTAGTTTAATATTTGAAGTAGCAGCACCTGTCCATTCCATTTCATGTAAGGACCTGATTGCAACATAATATCAGTAAATTTCAATAGGCACATTTCTGGGAGCGAGATGGGGGGGGGGGTTAATGGAGAGCCACATAGTGCATATATATATATAAGACAAAAGCTTGGTGCTTCTTGGGCAAACTCACCGGCCCAAGTGGCTCCGTCGGCTAACGAAGGGATGGGGGGGGAGTCCGGGGACGTCACGGACCCCCCGTTAGCCGACGGAGCCACTTGGGGAAGTAGACCGGTAAGGTCGATGTCCATGACGTCACTGGATCTCCGACGGGACTCCCGGAAGCCGGCGGAGAGGCGAGCCTTTTCATTTTCGCTCAAAAGAATTTTAAATCGATGAAAAAGTTTAACGATTAATCAAGGAATTGATCGTTAATTTCCCCAGCCCTACTGTGAACTAATACGAGTAAATGAAAAAAAAAGTAATTCACATTACATAAATCAATGCTGGGCAGACCTAATGCCTAAAAAGGAAGGCAGCCAAGATGTCTAGAATATTTGAAGAATCCTTTAATTTATCTAAAGCAAAAACTTTTTTTTTTAGATTATAGAAGAGTTAGAAGCGGTCACTTTTTTTTTTGTAGTCTGTGTCCCTGCTCTGTCTTGGTGACCAAAATCACTCAGACTGAAAGTTAGCAGAAATTCAAACACTGAGTTGTCACCGGAATAGAGGGAGACTCTTCCAAAAAGGGGACAACCGTCTTAAAGGTGATTTCCCTCTCTTCCCTCTCGCTTTAGATCTACTTTAGTCTTTATATGAATTTCTTCGAGTCTTAGCCACAGCATCAAGTAATTTAATAAATAGAATTTATAACACAATGTTTCATTAGGTTTGTAGTATAGCGATCAGATATTACTATTGCCCAAATAGAAAATGTTTCATCTTTGATTGTCGTCATATGTAGAACACAGAAACCATGAAATGCTACAATGCGAACATTCCATGGAGCTTTAGACCAACTCCCTCGTAGCATCACTGGATTATTGGATAATTAATATGCTGGCTTCCCTTGTCAATTGAGAAGTGAGTTCTTACCTTTGGAGAGCCTGACTATATGGTACTAGTTTGTCATAGTATGGGTGTTAAACTCTTGTTGGTGCGATCTATAGTCATAAATGTACTATGGAAATGTCCCCAGAGTGAGCAGCCCACCTTTGCTGGCTTTATAATTACCGTGAGGAGTTTGGAACGTCACTGCAGATATATTGTCCTCATGCAATCAAAAGCACCTCCAATCCTAAACTATCACACCCCTGTATGCATTCACTTTTACCTTCTTCAGCTTGTACAGGTGGCTGACGATTGGTCTCTATAAGAGGTCTTTTGTTTAATACTGCCGTCCGTGATCCAGCTGTGGGTCTATCGGCCATCTTCTTTTGAAGATTCTCTCTCCTGGCTCGCGTCCTTTCAAGCAATTTCTTAGAAGACAAAAAAGGTAAGAATATATTTTAGAGAGAAGCTACTATCGTGTCCAAGGAAACATTTTTGTTATGTACCATTCTTGAACCTGTTACTTTACCTATAGTGGGTAATGTATAGGTTTACTTTGGTATGCCACCTAGTTTACAGCTTTTATAAGCCGGATTCTAACAGAACACTAGACATATTCCTGGAGTCTACAGGTTACAAGTATGGACCTAGAGAATGTCACACCACCGATTGAAGTAGTATGGCACATGTGGCCACCTCTTCACCCAAAAGCAGTGCATTTATATCCTGTTCCACGACAACTCATAGTGCCACTAAACAGACACAACAAGTGCTTTAAGAAGGTGTGTGAAGACAAAAATCGACAAAATCAGCTGTAAGAAACATTATATTGTTATAGTGTAACCTATTGCAATGATTCTACATTTCAGTGGAAATCTGAGATTAATGCAGATTTTGGCCCCATACACACAATAGGATGTGTTCAGCTCACATGGCAAGTGCTCCCTAATTTTCAGGCCAGTTAAGGTGTATTCAACCACACTTTCTATACCCATAATGCTTTGTGTGTATTAGCGAGATCAATGTACAAGTGCTCCTAAGACTACACATTTGCTGTGGTCATTATGGTGGGGTTTTCAGAATATGAATGCAACCAGAGCTATTGGAACACACAAAATGGGTGAAGAAAACGAGGCATCACCTATATCACTTTTGGTAGGACTAGACCATCATTTTAAAACTAGGTCAAAAAGTTTTAGCAGTAAAACCATAAGGCCAAAGATGGGCAGTTCTCAAATCCTGTCCCTGACATTAGATCTGACCAACATAAAAGGGAACCTGTAATGATAGCCCCAGACCATGGGCCTTGGGGTGCTTAAAGTGGTGGCTACTGTACAACATACACAGGGACCATGGGGAACAAAAGTATCCATTTTCCAGAAGGAAGGACAGTGTCAGCATGAATTCAGAGATTATTTGAGAATCTACAGTCAAGTGATACACAAGATACATGATACTTATTAGTACCTGAATGCATTTTAAGATTTAACTCCGGAGTTTTGTGTCACTTAAGACAGAAGCTACCACTGCTGAAATTCTGAAAACACCAACACTGACTGTATCTGGCTTCATAGTTTTTTTTTTTTGAGTCAGATGCCAAAAACAAGCATTTAGCCAGTGAAGTATCAGTTAGAGAGAGTAAGAGACCATTCATTTCAACAAAAATATTCCCATAAGATTATACGTGCATTTAACGTATTTCAGCCAATGTATTTAGCTGTAAACCAGAAAAGTGGGAAATCTGTCTGAGAAACTTCATTCAAAATGAGAAACTTCATTCAAAATGACAAAAAGTGGAAGTGAAGGGAGGAAGGGAGGGGCAGAGTAGCTAGGCCAGCACTAAGTAGAACTCCCAAAAGAGGAGATGGCTATGAAGTGCAAGAGGGAGAGCTGTGCTATGGAACTGACTATAGCAGGATCAAAGGCACATTGATACATGGGTCATGGCCTCAAAGTGTCGAAGCCAATGCATCAGCTTGACCAACTGCTATTGCTAACCTCTTCTAAAACGCTAACTGCCTGACTGTCAATGTAATCCAACAGCTTCAGTTCATCGAGCTTCACTAGTACAGAACTAGTATGCAGATCAGGAGTTGACTACACTTATTACATGCTTTTTCTAGATCAGCGACTCAGAATGTACTAAAGCCAGAGACCACCAGGCAGCTGGTAATTTTACAAGGAGCTCAGCAATAATAGTTTTGCTGTCAATACAGGCTTTCTTTACATACATAAACAATAAAGAGGGAAGCGTAAAGAGAGAGATGTAACAGAGCAGTCCTTGATATCCGTTCTTGCCTAGAGGACAAGCCATCTACTCAGCCCTGAGTGTCTCTCCCATCATCACCCCCCCCCCCTTAAAACTTGAGGAATGTTATAGGGAAGATGTACTAAAGTGTAGACATGTACACTTTATATGGGAAATAAACAAACAGTCTACACTTCTAAAACTGAGCATTATGATGTTACTTGATATAAGGGGCCTCAAGTATAGCCCCTGACATAACCAGAGGGCTGCACATAATATTCAGTGATAGACTGGAGACACATTACATGAGACTGCTAGAGATCACAGCCATGAAAACCCTTTTACACACCAATGCTTTCATATTTTTGCTCCCTACAACCTTTTTGAAACTAAACCCCAGGATAAGCAAATCTTGTCAAAATAAAAGCTTTGTGGGTTCTTCCTTGAATCTTGGCGTGCTTTCTTTATTTGTTCCAGATCTGTGCCGTAATCTAACATGAAACTGTGCTTCTGTGAAGGAGCTTCATGTAATAAAAGTCCAGTCCCTGCTGCGCTCTCTCCTTGTGCAGAGTGACTGGTCTTGAATCGGCAGCCTGTAGTGCAGGAGTAGGAAAACTTGGTACTTCAGATGTTGTAGAACTACAACTCCCATTAGGCATTATGAGACTGACAGCCACAGGTACGACTCCCAGAGGCAGGGACACGATGGGACAGTTTCCCCAGAGCTGGAGTACCGAGATTGTCTTCCCCTGCTGTAATAGATGGACCTGCTGTGCCCCTTCCACAGTTCTGCTCAGGCTATGTACAGCACAGTGATGCTGTCAGTTCTGTTTCTTGCAAGGTAATAACTGGGTTTGCAAAGGCTATTGGTGCACACAAAGATTTATATCCTTTGTGGATATTGAGGGATAGATTTAAAATTAGAGCTTTTGTGTTAGTCCATCTTAAAATATTATTGTGCCGCATATGGGCGGGCAGCACAGAAATAGTAAGACACTATGACAATAAACCTAACCGATCTACTATTAGTAGTCAGCTAGAAGAAAAAAATTCCTTTACTGGACTGAGCGCGCACCTAGGTAAGTAAACCTCAGGCCTCGTTCACACCATCCTCAGTGCGTTCTGGGCAGATTGCGGCTGGAACGCACTGGATCGCATTGCGGACGGCTCAATTTGTTGTGGGGCGGTGCATTGAAGTGAATGGCACCGCAGCCACGCAATTGGCCGCACGGGAATGCAAGGCACATCAATGCCTGCAGTCCGGTCAGGAATAATAGTGCTTGCAGTTCTCTTTCTGACTGTACCGCAGGCATTGATGTGCCTTGCGTTCCTGTGCGGCCGATGGCATTGCGGCTGGAGGGCGTGGCTGCTCCCGCCCCACTACAAACTGAGCTGGCTGCAAAGCGATCCAGTGCGTTCCAGCCACAATCGGGCTGGAAAGCACTGAGGATGGTGTAAACGAGGACTCAGACTACTGTCTTCAGGGGTCCCAAAGGCTGCATGATAAGTGCCAAAGGGCCACATAGGCACTTGGGTGCAGGTTGAGCACCAATTATGCAAAAAGTGAAAGAATTTAAAAAAAAAAAAAAAAAAAACACACAAAACATTTACTGTTGGGCAGTCATCTCCAAACATAATAAAAATATGTATTTCTATTGTCAAAGCCCATGCATCAATATTCTGCACATCCTCCAGCAGTTAATAGGAAAATCCTTGGGCTGCCTTTTCTGAAGTATCCACAGTATAAAGTGCCGCATGTACAGTAAATATATTTTTTTCTCCTTTCGGCATCATCAAGAGACACCGAGTCATTCTAGTTTGAATCAGCCAATAGTTTTATTCATACTAAGTAGTTCAGTAGGGCGGATTCTATCATCTACTCATGCTGTAGCTTGTTGAAGTACAGGAGTTACGTGGAGCAGTTTTTTTTTTCCAAGCTATGTGCTGGAACACAGCCCATTAACCGACCACATCTTTCCTGCAGCTGCAGCGAGCTTCCATCCTACCAATTATGGAAAACACAGATGATCAGACGCTTAAACAAAAACTTAAAAGATGCCATCTGCACGTTCAAAAAAAGAAAAAACCGGGAGCACAGGAGTTTCACAGTCTGCAGTCACAAGGGGGAAATCAAGGAAAATTAACATTCCACATGGTATGCAAACCATGTCCTTTTTCTGTAGTCAGGATATACTCAGTCAATTTCTTCCTGTGCCTTCAAATCTACATCGAAAACAACTTTGCCAAACAATTTGAATTTGTTTGATGTGACAGAGTGTATTGCAAACATGTATTAAGGAGTTCTGTCAGATTGATATATATCTGAACTGCCAGAAATAACATAAGTAACATAATTCAAATACATATCAATTAGCTGCCATATACTGTTACTTGAAAAAGTATTGTGAAGCATTATACATTTTTAGATTTGTAAATGTGAACTGACACTTGCAGTCACAATGGAGGCGAATGGGCACCCTCTCGACATATGCAGTCACAATGGAGGCAAATGGGCACCCTCTCGACATATGCAGTCACAATGGAGGCAAATGGGCACCCTCTCGACATATGCAGTCACAATATTGGTGAATGGCACCCTCTCAACATATGCAGTCACAATGGAGGCGAATGGCGCCTCCAACAGATGCAGTCACAGAGGAGGTCAAAGGTGTCTTCTCGACAAATACAGTCACAATAGAGATAAACGGGCCCCCTCTTGACACTTGTAGTCACAATGGATGTGAATAATCTTCTCAACAAATACTGTCGCAATGGGAATTATAAATATGATTTATATAGCACCAACAAACTGTGGTTGTTTTCATTATGGAAAACACAGATGATCAGACGCTTAAACAAAAACTGTGCCACATTTTACAATATACGGACGACATTACAGTTACAACACAATGCCTGTGAGAGCTTAAAATCTAAAAAGGGCCCCCGCTTAACACATCCAGTCACAATAGAGGTAAACGGTCTCTTCTTGACAAATACAGTCACAGTGGTGGTGAATTGCACCCTTTGACACATGCAGTCACAACGGACATCCAGCCACCACATGACAAAGGCTCTTGGCCAGTAGTTTTATTACTAAATAGTAGTAATACAGATTTTACACTTGGTGTAAATATGCATATCAAAGTTCAGTAAATGACACTGTATAGCAAGATGAAAACA